AATATATCTACAACAAACACTTACAGTTTTATTTTAAAGTTATTTTTAAATTTCTGGCACATAGATTGCTATGTCCTCTGACTATTGGAGACACTGGCATTGTTTAGGAATTATACGCTAATTTGACCTTAATATTAACAAATGTATCTGGGGTGAACCAAGACAGGCAAAGGGGTAGTGACTAAGGTCTAGCACTAATGAGAATTATTTTGGCTCAGATGTCATTTTGGATTATCTAGCAGTGGACATAATATAGAAGACAAAATTTGCCTTTTGCAGATATCAGAGGCAAAATAACAATAACAGAATGATAAAATTTACAGAAAAATATGATTGCAATCTTAGCTCAGTTTTAATGCTTACTTTAGTTTGATTCTATCTTAAACATGAGTCTCTTTCTTCATTAATTATCATGTTTAGAAGTACAAACATTCTGATCTAAGTGAATTTATATTGCCATCTGGTAATGGTGCTTTAAAAAATAAGGTCTTTATTTACTTTTGATTCTCAGTGTTTGTTTTGGCAGGTGATATACACGATGACCTGGGCCAGAAGAAAGAAATAACTAAGGTATGGAAGAGGTAAAATTTCATTCTTAGTCTTTACTTTCAGATTAGATGTGTTTATTTATTTATTCATTAATTCATTGATAGTACTGGGGTTTGAACTCAGGGCCCCACACTTGCTAGGAAAGAGCTTTACCACTTGAGCTATGACTCCAGCCCTTTTTGCTTTAGTTATTTTTTCAATAGGGTCTTGTGTTTTTTGTCCAGGCCTGCCTGGACTAAGATCCTACTGTTTATGCCTCCTAAATAGCTCTTATGCCCAGCTTATGGGTTGAGATCAGGTCTCATTTTCCCCTCAAACAGCAATCCTTCTGATCTTTGCCTCCGAATAATTGGGATTCCAGGTGTGAGCTACTGTGCCCAGCTCTATATTCTTTTTAATACAGTATTTCCTAGGGGTCTGATTTCCACTTTCACCAGGGGAGCCACATTAAAAAATATTCACCTGGTTCAAATTTTCCTCTCATCATGTTCTCCAAATACAGTTTCTAGTTCTTTTAGAGACAGTTATGCAAATGTGTGAGCAAATATATTTCCTCAGATTTTACATATGCGAACTGCAGTAACATACTGTCTTCAGATTTCATTCTGAAGAACAATGTATCTTGAAGATCTCTCCAGATCTGTTTGTTTGTTTGTTTGTTTAGCAGTACTGGCATTCATACTCCTGTGCTTGTGAGGCAGGCGCTCTACCACTTGAGTCATAGCCCCAGCACTTTTTGCTTTTACAGTTTTTTCGAATAGGTTCTCCCATTTATGCCTGGTCCAGCCTGGACCACAAACCTCCTATTTATCCTTTCCTGCATAGCTGGGCTGACAGGTACTCACCATCTTGCCCAGCTCTTATTGACTGACTTAGGGTCTTAAGAATTTGTTGCCTTGACTGGCCTTAAACCTCAGTTCTCCTGATCTCCTGAGTAGCTAGGATTGCAGGTATGACTCCAGGGCCTGGCTACAGATCTGATTTTAGAAAGCACTTATTTTTTTTAATAGTTGAATGGTATTCTGTTATATTGATGTCCTATAATTTATTTAGTGAAATACTAATGGACATTTAAAATGTTTTTGAATACTCTGCTCATAAAGAAAATACAGGGAAAATTGGTTAGATGTTAGTCTTGTAGAATCCATTTCTAGAAATGGAATCACTAAATAAAATGTATGTACATTTGTCAGTTGATAAATATTGCAAACTTCCCTCTTCAGAATTTATGACAATTTACCTGACCACATCTCCAGACAGGGGAAATTTTACTTCTAACTTCCCCATTTGATAGTCATTTATTTCTTTTTCTCACATAATTGCTCTGGATAGGACTTTTAGTATTATGGTCAGTACAAGTGATGTGTGTGGGCATCCTTTCCTTGCTTCTGATTTTGGAGAAAAACCTTTCAGTTTCTCACTGTCAAGTATGATGTTAGCTGTGGACTTTTAATATACGACCTTTATTATATTTTGAAGTATTTTCCTTTTGTTCCTCTTTTGTTGAGTCTGTCATAAAAAGGAATTGAATTTTGTCAACTGCTTTTTCTGAATACAGAGATAGTCATGTGATTTCATATTGATTGCTTTCATATGTTGAGCCATCCTTGCATTCCAGGGATAAATCCTACTTGGTCTTGGTGTATGGTCCTTTTAATGTGATTTGAAATCAATTTTCTTTGGCTCCTTACAGTCTTTTGTGTTTACATGTGAGTTTTAGGATTACCTTTTCTATTTTATTGAAAAATTCCATTGAGATTTTGATGAGAATTGCATTGATTCTGTAGATTGCTTTTGGTAGTATAGCCATTTTCACAATATTAATTCTGATGATTAATATCACAGGAGGTCTCTCCATCTTCTAATGTCTTCTTTAGTTTCTTTAGTTTCTTTGTTCAAGATTTTAAATTTTCATTGAAGAGAAATGATCTATTTTGGAGAAAGTCCCATGGGCTGATGAGAAGAGTGTTTATTCTACAACTGTGGGTGGAATATTCTTTAGATGTCTATTGAGTCCATTTGATCTATTGTGTCATTTAATTCTGAAGTTTCCATCTTTATTTTTTATCTGAATGTTTTGACTTGGTGAGAGTCGAGTATTAAAATCACCCACTGTTAGTATGTTGGGGTCTATCTGTGTTTTTATTTCTAGTAGTGTTTGCTTTATGAAGTTGGGTGCACATAACAATTGTTATGTCCTCCTGCTGGATTTGTCCCTTTGTCATATTAAGTGACCTTCTTTGTCTCTTCTGGGCTTGAGTTCTGCTTTATCAGATATGAGTGTACCTATTCCTGCTTGCTTTGGGGCTCCATTTGCTTGGGAAATCTTTTTCCATACTTTCACTCTAAGCCTGTGTTTGTTTTTTCTGGTGACCCAAGTGATTGGGTCTTTTTCGGAATGGGGAGAGGGCAGGTGGTACCTTGGATTTGAACTCAGGGCTTTGAGCTTGCTAGTCAGGTGCTTTATCCCTTGAGCCATGCCTACAGCCCTTTTTTGCTCCACTTATTTTGGAGATAGGGTCTTGTTTTTTTGGAGATAGGGACTGTGATCCTCCTATTTTACATTTCCCTTCATCTCTGAAATGATAGGCATGTACTACATGGCCAGTTTTTTTTCCATTAAGATGGGGTCTTGCAAACTTTTTGCCCAGTCTGGGCCATAACCACAATACTCCTGGTTTCAGCCTTCTGTGTTGCTTGGAATGACAGGTGCACAGCACTGATGTCTGGCGGGGTCTTATTTTGTAATCAAATCAGCCAGTCTCTTTCTTTTGATTGGAAAATTGAGACCATTATTAATATTTACAGTTATCATTGAAAAGTATGTGGTGATTTCTGTCTTTTTTATTGGTTTTGTAGTTCTTGATTCTTCCTTACTGCTCATTTGCTTATCTACTCATCTACTATGATTTATTTTTCCCTATGCTTTTGTTGCCAGATTTATCTTCCTCTTTTGTATATAGGATTCCTTTAAGTATCTTCTGCAGTTCTAGTTTAATGGTTGTGAATTGCTTTAGGTTTTGGTTATCATGAAAGGTTTTTATTTCTCCTCAATTATGAAGGATAGCTTTGCTAGCTAATCTAGGTTGGCAGTTCTTTCTTCTTTCTTTTGTTTAGTGAAAGTGATAGTAGAGTTTATTAGAAAGGACACTTTCAATAGACTGAAAGTGGATCATCTCTAGAGCGATAACAAGAATGACTGATAGTTATTTCTTTCAGCTGGAAATACATCTTTCCTTGCCATCCTTGCTTTTAAAGTTTCTTTTGAGGAATTGGCTGTTAGTCTCATAGGTTTACCTTTATTCATGTCTTAGTTCTTCTTTCTTGCAGCTGTCAATATTCTTTCCTCGTTCTATATATCTAATATTTTAACTATAATATTATGTGAGGAGTTTCTTTTCTGGGCCTTTCTGATTGGAATCCTAAAAGCTTTCTGTACCTGGATAATCATCTTTTTCTCAAGATTTGGGAAGTTTTCTGCATTATTTATTGAATATGTATTTTTGATGCTTTTAGCTTGCACCTCTTCTCCTTCTTCTATGCCCATCATCCATAGTGTTGATTTTTAATGGTGTCCCAGAAGTTGTGCACATCTGTTCGTACTTCTTTATTTTTCTATCTTCATCTACATCTTCTAATATTATCTACCTTGTCTTCAAGCCCTGATATTCTGTCTGCAATTTGATCCATTCTACTATAGAAGACTTTCAGTTGACTTATGGAGCTTTCATTTCCAGAATTTCAATTTTTTTCAGAATTTCTTTTTCTTTATTGAATTCCTCTTTCATGTCTTCATTGTCTTCTTTATGTCATTCAGCTCTGTATTTGAGTTTCTTGGAATCTAGCATTTATTCATGTGTTCTTTAATTTTTATTGATCATTTTTATAATATTAAAAAAATATTCATAGAGATTTCATCCACTTCCTTGTTATTAGTGTTTTACTGTGGAATTGTTGAGTTTTGGAGGCGTCATTTGCCTTATTTTTCATATATCTTGTGTTTTTATGGTGGGATTTGCACATCTTTGGCCAAGTTGTTGCTTGAATGTTTTAATTGCCTGTAGTTTTTCAACTGAAAAATTCTCATAGCTTGCTTGAGAGTCTATTTTTTACTACTGAACTGAGAGTATGGCTTGGCAGCCAAGTGTTTTTCTGGGCACTGGGCCTAATCCCAAGCACTGCTCAGATTGAGGTAAATCAGCTGGAGTCTCTTGTAGAGCATCAGTTCTCTACTTCTTGACTATTTTTAGTACAGGAGCTTCCATTCTTTGTGTATTGGGAGCTGCTCCTGGCTGCAGGGAGTTTTATAGTCTGTGGGCTGTGTAGATTGTTCCACAGACTCCTTGGCTTGTGTCCCCAGGGGCAGCAAGTGTTCAAGTCCCCTGAATGCATCAGACAGTGGGGAAGTCAACATATCCTTGAGTTCTGCACTGGTTAAGGGGAGAACTAAGGGACTTAGTCACTCTGCCTGCTGGTCTCATGTCTTACAGATTCTGTCCATCAGTTCATCTCCCTGAGGAGAGGAGGAGGCTGTGGAAGTCTTGTGTTCAGAGGGTCTGGGCTTTGCATCTTCAGACCCACCGGGCAACAAGCACATGTTGGGGTACAGTTCCCAGTGGCAGGCCTTAGTGCTTTCAAACCCTGTCCAGAAGTTACCTCCCTGTAGAGGGGAGGAGGCTGTGGGAGTCATATGATTTGGAGGGTCTGGGTTCAGGGTTCTCTTTGCCACCTAGTAGCCAATACATGCAGGCTGGAGGAGGCCCTGGAGTCAAATATTATGCCAGCCAGAGGCTTAGTGTTTGTTTCTGCCATGATCCTTAGGCCATGGGACTTCCTCCTTGCCACAGAGAGTGTAGCCTCCAACTACCATACCCTTTACTGCAGGAGCCACCTGGCTGCTTGAGTTTCTCTGTGGGGACTATGTCAGACCTTCTCCATCTCCTTCACCACTTCTCATGGCTGTCTCCCTCCCAAATACTGTGGCAAGGTGTCCCCACATTCCCCAAATGGTGACTATTCCTTGTTTTTAAGCCCCCAGAGCATCTTAGACTTGAGCAATATGCCCTCTTTCAAGATGGCATCTTGCTATAGCTCTCAGAGATGAGGGGAATGACAGATGTCTTTTTTCACCAAGGTTAACTTTCCACACCAGAGCAATCATTGTCTCACTAAATTCCCACACTGAGTTTAAGGCTTGTGGGAAGGATGGATGTATATTGCAGCTAGAATTGCCAGTCTATTTGCTAAGACTGTGTGTCTTACCTTGTGATTGCATCTGCAACTTCCCCTACTTCTCCTACTGAGTCAAGAATGGGATTGAAACCTTTATTTGCTGTTCTCCTTGCCTAGTTTCTCTATGCTTTTCTTCTATCCTGCCACGTCTTTTGTGATTCCTGATGCTCCTCTCTTTTTCTCTTCAGAATACCTCCTGTGTTACCTAACTCTTCTCATTCATAGACTCAAAACAGTGGAAGCTTCTAATCTTCCATCTTGTCCCCAAATCCTGGTGGCACTATTATTTTGTTGCTGGTATCATTTGCTTTGTCTATGTATTTTGCAATATCTCCAGTGAGACTTGAGGACGTACATAGTAATCAAACATATTAGTATCTTTTTGCATTGGAAAATATTAACTCACATATGCTAAGTAAGCTAAAAAATAAAGCCTATAACTAGACTTATACTATTTCAGATCAGCTATTACTGCCAAAATGTGTTAAGTCAGGTCAAGTTTTTCTTTTTTGAAAAAAGAAAAAAAACCTTCAGTTTTCTGAACTGTTTAGATATGAGCAATGGAGCACTGGAGATATTTCTTCTCCTTGTACTTTTGGTAGGTTCATTGCTTTGATACATGCTATAAAATGAGAAGGTTGTATTTGACATTACAGATGAAACAGCTGTTTTGGTACTAGATATTTGAGATGGCAATTATGCAATCACTAAAAGTACTTGGAGAAAGTAATTTTGAATCATAAAGAGTATTATTGGAATAAAGTCTATAGTTGTTTTTGGTGTTGTTCTTATCCTACAGAGAAAAGACCCTGTGGATTTCTCAGTCAAATCTCAAGCAGAGAGAGCAGTTCAGTTCTTTGATTACATCTGATGGAATCCATTAAGCTGGGTGATCCAAAGTTCGTGAATTTTTTAGGTTACTTGCTCTCTGCCACACTGTAATGTCAGAGGAGAATAGTGCGGGTAAGTGAAATGTGTGAGTGGTGACCTTTTTTATATAAAATAAATATGGATATTAAATTTGGAGGATTTTTGAACTAAAGGTAGAACATTGCATAAGGGGTTTATTTATTACTAACTTTCCCTTTTTGTTTATATCCTGAATGTTTCTTAAAAATGTGGAGAGAAGTTCAAGAAAAAGATATAGTGTCAATAGAAAGGTAAAGAGCCCAAAACACCAGTCCACTGAGATGAAATATGTCTTATTTTTGGATACCACATTTGACTGTGAACCTCCTGATACCCAGTGCAAATATGGAAATACAGTTGAGCCACATGCACTTATAATAGATGCAGAGGAGCATCAACACAAATTTCCCAGCAATAGGGTAAATTTGCATCAATGCTAGAATACTTCAGTTCCCATTCTGAACACGTCCTCATACTTGCAACATGGTTGTTTGGAGTTCAGGATTCATAGACTAGAACAAAACCAGATGGGCCACTTTAAACTTTGAGGTCATGAGGTAGATTAATAATGTTATAGTGAATCAACTTCTTGCTCCAATTAAGCTCAATTTATTCCACTTATAAGATTTATTTCCTTCTTCTCAAATAGCAAGTTAAAATTACTACACAAGTAATTTCAACTCAAAAGTGAAATATATAGATAGATATATCTGTGTATGTGTGTGTATATGTATATGTATATATATATATATATATATATATATATATATATATATATATATATATATATACTTTACATCTCCCTCTCTGTATATTTTTCTTATTTGTTTTTTCTTTTCCTGTGGGAATCATATTCAAATCATTGTTTTGTCCTTGATGCTGCTGGATTAACCCATTCCTCAGATTTTAACCACTCTGAAGATTCACATAATTATATTTATGATTTTAACTGATCTTTATAATATTAACATCAACAAGGAATTATTATATTTCCATCTGAGAATATGCCTTTAAGTAAGTCTTTTTTATTTCTGCCTTTGAGTTTATTTCATTTCCAAAAGTCTATTTTGTTTTAGTAGCAATCTGTTTTCCATTAGTGTTACAATATTCTTTAGACCTCATTGAGGATATTAATTATATTTAATTTGAAATTTTCTTTTGTTTCCTCTATTTTGCTTCATTTTATTGAGTGTTCTATGTTTTTGAGTTCTGTGTCTAACTTTCATGTTGTTCTCAAATGTTTGATGATTTGTAGTTGTCTGTTCCTATTTGTGTTTGAGAGTCCCTATTTGGCAAATGTGGGTCCTTATAATACTCTGTTGTCCAAGATTATGTGGGAGAAACAGAATATGTAGCTTGTCTCCTGGATGTGACTCCCTCCTGGAATTCATAAGACACCTAGGTTACTATCTTGCTTTTCCAGATCAGTCTGATGCTAGGAGTCTATATTAAGAGCTCCCATTCAAGATACAGTTGTAGGTAAGGATAGGACTGGAAAAAAATTATTGGTCAATGAATTCCTTTCCATCTTTGTCTTTCTTTTATCCTGGGTAAGTCTCAAGCTACTCAGGTTCTCCTTAGCTTTGGTCTCCAGCCCCAGGAATTAAATCTTGCTGCATTCCTGAGATGGATTGTACACTTAGCATAGAAGAAATAGTTTGCTGGTACCCAGAACAAATATGGCTTCATCCAGTGCTGCAGCCTATTATTCAGAGTAAGCTGGTAGGAGAAGGAACCTAAATGGTCCAGGAGTATGAAGGGAATTCTTTAATTAGTTTTACTAATGTCCCCAAGACTACTGCTCTTCTCACTTTTTAACTCTTGAGTTTGGAGAATCTTTGGTGATGGTTCTTGTTCCCTTCGTTTTCTTTTGAAAATATTTTGTTTTGTCATTGATCAAATCTCACATTTTGCCTCCAGATACTTTCTAACAAATTTGTAGTTTACTAATAGTACTCATTTTTCTCTTCTAGCATCATTTAAATATTCATGTTGTACTATAATTAAATGTAATAAAATGCACAGATCTTAAATGCATAGTTTGATGAGATTTGATAATTATATCTACCCATGTAATCACTGCTCCATCAAGTTTAATAAATCTCTTCTGTCATTCCTAGAAAGATTATTCATCTCTTTTCATTCAATACCTACAACCCTGCACATCCAATCACAACTCTGAATTCTATCTCTAAACATGAGTTGTGCCTATACTTGTCCTTCATGTAAGTGAAAGTATGTACCCTTTTGTGTCTAGTTTCTTTTATACAGCGTACTGTTTCTGTCATCCACCTGTGTTGTTATTTCAATGAGTAGTTTATTTTTTATTGCTAAGTAATATTTCACTGATAAATATGCACAATTTTTTTTTCTAGTTCTCTGTTGAACATCTGATTGTTTGCAGTTTGGGGCAAACAAAATGCCAACAACATCTTAATGTCTTTAAGAATATTGTTTTAATTTGGTGGGGGGACACTAAATACTTAAGAATGGAAACTGAGGGATTCCAAGATAGCGACTAGGGGGAGGAAGCAGAAAGTGTGCTTCCTAAAGTAAAATCTTGGAGAGACGCTGGAGATACATGTTACAGGAAAAAACCACTGAGAAGAGGCAATGTGAAGAGTCTCATTGACTCTTCTGAGATAGATACAATCATTATCCCACATTATAAAAATAAAAACAAAATAAAATGTAAGCACAGAAATACTATACAGATTTCCACAGGTCACATAGTTAATAACTTATATCCTCAATTTCACTATACTTAATTATGCACATTTACATGGCTTAGTGAAAGAAGACCTCAATGTCCTGATTTGTCCTGCATGGCCCCAGTTATATCGTCCAGATATAATATTACATAATGTTCCCTTTCACATTAAAATATTATGTAAGTATAATTCACATACAATAAAATGTGTCTATGTGAACTGTATAGATTGTTTATAAATGCATACACTTGTGTAAACTAAAACACCCTAATTAAGGAATATAGAACACTTTTGTCCTAAAACAGGTTTTGCTCCAGGAAACTCTCTGATTTGATTTTTGTCTCAATAGATTAGTTTTGGTCTGGAAGACTCATAATAAACTAGAATAGTACAGCATATTTCTTGGGTTTGTCTTTCTTTCACTTAAGAATAATGTTAACATTCAATCTGTATGTGTGTGTTAATCGTCTAACTTACTTTTATTACTGACTAGTAGTCCATGCATGAAATGTAATGCAAATTTTGTTTTATCCCAATCATCACTTGATGGACATATTCCAGTTTGAGGCACTCATGATAAGAAGCTGCTACAAAACAAAACATTTAAAACTTTAAACAAAACAAATACTGATTCTATTTTCTCTAGTAATATTTTTTTCTTCAACTTGTTTATTTAATATTAGTTTTAGTTAACAGATGTTCTCACCTTTATCAGTGTTTGCATAGTTTAGCTCTTTCCTACCCTTTCATGCCTATTTTTTCTTATATTTTAGACAAATCTCTTGTGCATGTTATATAGATTAACATTTGTTAAAAACTGAGGCAGACAAGCTAATGGTTAAACTGAATATTTAGTCTAAGTAGACTTTATTTATTGTTAATGTACATAAATTTTAAGTATTTAACATATAATTATTGACATATTTAGAGTTCTTTCTATCATCTTATTCTGCACATTTTATTTGTCCCACCTTTTTTTCTCTTAGTTTCTCTTTTTGTTTTCTATGTATTTAGTCCATTTTTGCTGGTTTGGAGATAATATACCCTTTTAAAAAATTATTTTATAAATGGATGGAATTGGAGAACATCATTCTGAGTGAGGTTAGCCTGGCTCAAAAGACCAAAAATCGTATGTTCTCCCTCATATGTGGACATTAGATCAAGGGCAAACACAACAAGGGGATTGGACTATGAGCACATGATAAAAGCGAGAGCACACAAGGGAGGGGTGAGGATAGGTAAGACACCTAAAAAACTAGCTAGCATTTGTTGCCCTTAATGCAGAGAAACTAAAGCAGATACCTTAAAGCAACTGAGGCCAATAGGAAAAGGGGACCAGGAACTAGAGAAAAGGTTAGATCAAAAAGAATTAACCTAGAAGGTAACACCCATGCACAGGAAATCAATGTGAGTCAATGCCCTGTATAGCTATCCTTATCTCAACCAGCAAAACCCTTGTTCCTTCCTATTATTGCTTATACTCTCTACAACAAAATTAGAGATAAGGGCAAAATAGTTTCTGCTGGGTATTGAGGGGGGGAGCGGGAGGGGGGAGTGGGTGGTAAGGGAGGGGTGGGGGCAGGGGGAGAAATGAACCAAGCCTTGTATGCACATATGAATAATAAAAGAAAAATGAAAAAAAAAAAAAAGAAAATGAAAAAAAAATTATTTTAGTGGTCAACTTAGAAATTTGACATCAACTAAATTCCTGAAAAAACTACACCTTCCTTTCGAAAAACAAGAAGCTCCTTTTAACTTTTTACCACTTGCATAATACTCTCTCCAAGAGAAAAAAAACAAATAACATACAAAGGTAAACCATCAAAATTACAGCAGACTTCTCAACAGAAACATTAAAAGCAAGAAGAGCGTGGGGTGAGATCTTCTGGGCACTGAATGAAAATAACTTCAACCCCAGGATACTCTACCCAGCAAAACTATCATTCAAAATAGATGGAGCAAAAAAGTCTTCCATGATAAGCAAAACTAAAACAATATGTGACCACAAAGCCCCATTACAAAAGATTCTTCAAGGGATTCTGCACACAGAAAGTGAAACCCAACTAACCATGAAAGGACAGGCAGCACCAAAACAGGAAAGAGAAAAAGCAAGAAGTAGAGAGTAACCCAATTAGGTACACACATCAAACCTTCAAACAACTAAGACAACTAAATGACAGGAATCACCACATACCTATCAGTACTAACCTTAAATGTTAATGGACTTAATTCACCCATCAAAAGGCACCGCTCGATGAAATGGATTAAAAAGAAGATCCAACAATTTGTTGCTTACAGGAGACCCATCTCACCAACAGAAAATAAGCATAGGCTTAGGATGAA